CTTATGGGCTTCCGAAGGCGACGTTAGGCATTTTGGACCGCCTTCAAAAGCCTCTCGGCAGCCGGCAGGCCTGTTGCGGGCTCTCTGTGGCCTGTCCGAAGCCTGCAGCCTCCTCTCTTCTTATGGGCTTCCGAAGGCGACGTTAGGCATTTTGGACCTTGCCCATTAAGTGAATTTGAGGGGCACCTACAGCACGTCCGGCTCGCCACATTCACCCGCCGGTGTCACAGTCGGCCACGGCGTGCACGCCTCGAAGACCGCTGATGACATCCATGACATCGTGTCGGCGAGAGCAACGGAGATCTATTTGAGTTTGCATCTGGATGAAAGCTGACAAAAACGAGTTGGAAGTACAGGTGGAAGTACAGCTGGCTCTGGGTTTGTCTAATCCTGTATGTGGATGAGGTGTTCTTGGATCTTTTTTTTGAGTGACGTCACAAGAAAGAAGCGCTAAGTGCACCCTTTCTGTTACGTATCAGATAGTTGGAAGTCAAAACAGTCGCGGCCACACATGCCTGCATATTTGATTTGTTGTGGGGATTGTATTCTCTTGTGCCCGACATGTATCTGCAAGCTATTACAAGCCTGCTGACGTGCTTCTTGTGCTCAATCTTTGTGAAACTTCTCTGGATCCCCTTTAGGGACAGAGGACAAAAGACTGAGCCAAGGAGATGCAGTACCACATGCGCAGACTCGGGGAGCGCCACAAGACATCCTGCCGACTTAGCAACGTTCTTGCTTTTCAGCGGGGCCCTAGCGTGGATTTGCTTCACCCTACTCCTGAAACAATCATACCGCATCGTGCCACTCTTGACGAAATGAGTCATTGCTGACTGTAAAAACATCTAAATCTAAGTAATATCGCCCTATATAGGTCACTGGACTTGTCCGTCACCCAACGCGAGGGGCGTGACCGCTCCTCGCGAAGCCTGGGAATGGTACATTGGAACGACCCGGGTGCGCTCGTTGGCAGGCACGCAGATGCGTGATCAGCAAATACCCGGGTGCGCTCGTTGGCAGGCACGCAGATGCGTGATCAGCAAATCTGGGGGGTAAATTCTCTCCGCTTTTGTATGCCCTCAGTCGGAAAGAGGGGTAAGCATTTCTGACATCATACGGACTGTACATACACTAGGTCGTCCGTAGTGTAGGAGACGCACCGGCAAAAGGTATATGGAATAGAGTGTCTTGAGGACATAGCCTGTTTGTGGTTATTGCCAATGTTGGGGGGAAATTTACCCCCCGCTATGTATGCCTTGAGCCGGAACGAGGGATAAGCATCACTTGAAGCCAGGGGGGAGCAGGTCGAACGCTAGCCGAGTCGCACCGGATGTACTAGTTACATAGTCGGCAAAGCGTGTAGGGATTACATGTTTTGGGAGGCAGCTTGCTATGTACATACTTGGCGCTAGAGAATGTAAATGCGACATCGCTCACTGGGCAGGGTACATTGGAACAACCCGGGTGCACTCGTTGGCAAGCATGAACATGCGTGCTCCGCAAATCGGGGGGGGAAATTTACCCGCCGCTTTTGTATGCCTTGAGTCGGAAAGAGGGGTAACCTCATACGGACTGCGCATACACTAGGGCGTCCGTAGTGTAGGCTAAGCACTGGTAAAAGGTATGAGGAGTGGAGTGTCTTGAGGAAATAGCCGGCTTATGGTTATGGCAAATCTGGGGGGTCGATTTACCCCCCCGCTTATCTATGCCTTCAGCCGGAACGAGGGGTAAGCATCACAAGGACTGTGCATACACTAGGGCGTCCGTAGTGTAGGATAAGCACTGGTAAAAGGTGTCAAGAATAGAGTGTCTTGAGGAAATAGCCGGTGTATGGTTATAGCAGCGCCGCCGGCAGCAAGCACCACCAGTGTGATATGTCAAGGTTTCAGGCACACAGCTCATCTCAGCTTTCCTGACAAGGACTGTGCATACACTGGCGCGTCCGTAGTGTAGCCTAAGCCCGGGTAAAAGGAATCAAGAATACAGAGTCTTGAGCACATAGCCGGTGTATGCTTATAGCAATCCCTGTCCGGCTTCTGGTCTTCCAGCTCCTCCCCCCAAGAAAAGGGGTCGGCGGCACCAGGGCGGAGCCCTTACTATTTGTGCGGTCTTGACTTTTAGTTCTTCGTTACGCGAGTGTCGTTTACTGCTTTTACAGGTCTCTGTGTAAGAAAGCCGCTTTCTTTTGAATTTAAGTTTCTTTGAAGCTCTGGCTATTTAAGGGCTATTGAGCGCCGGTACATGGTATCTTCGCCGGTGAACGATACAGTCTCCAGCCGAGATACATTGTCTTTGACCTTGTATTTGAGGTGAGTCAGCTATTGCTCCCTCACTGTATTTAGTGTACCTAGAGATTACCTTTTCTAAAGTGTGAAATACACTGGAATTGGTAAGTACAGGGCACCGTGGTTTCCTTTTAAGCTTACTAGAGCTTGCTGGACTGTTTTAGCCTTAAGGTAGAAAAATAGTGTGCGACATACGCAATAGGCAGGAGTGGACATGAATTTTGTGCCTGCTGAAATGTAAAGGCCTACTTGTACAGGTTCCACTCCAGTGGCCTATCTAGTGTGTCCATGCTTGACTGCCATAAGGCTCAAGAGGTATAGGATAAGACTCTGCGTGAGCAAAAGACACTAGCGGTCTGCACCTCAACCGTGTACGCCCTAGTCACTCTTTCACCCCCCCACCCCTCCCCTCCCTCCCCCCATGTAAGTCTTGGTGTTTGCGCTGTCTCTTGTTTGTACTTTTTGGTTCCATGTCATATGTTGCTTTGTCTTTCTCTTGTGAGGATATGCCTTTCTGATAGCCTAGGGCTTCGCGCCTTCACTGTGGGAAAAGGAGCCAATTGTGGAAATGGGCACTTGAAAGAATCGAAGATTGAAAGAAGCCCCCCTAGCTTTGCCGTGCAGTGTAAATAAGTAGTGAGTAGAAAGTTGGAAGTTGGAAGTAGAAAGTAGGGAGCAGGGAGTAGTGAGTAGTAAGTAGTAGGTAGCATGCCATGTGTACAGCACAGAGCAGACCTTTTACCTAGCTGTGTCAGCCTTGCACCCTTATCTGCATAAATTTCACTGCTTCTCCGGATTGGCTGCATGTGACCACATCCAGTTTGACTTCTACTCTTGCAGTCACCCCTTCACGGCCAACATCCCACCGCTGCACCGCACTCACACCCACTAAGTTGGCTTTCTCGCTGCGGCCAAAAGGGCCGGCGGAACAATCCGCAGGTGTAAATAGCATGGGAAATCACCAAAAGACTACAAGCTAGGCCATTGATTGCCTGCAGTCTTGGCCACTTGCCGTTGGTCAAGCAAGGTGGGACACTCCAAAAGGGTGCTTAGCTGCACCCAGGCGCTGATAGAGGACCACACCCAGCGAGAAGATGTCATTCTGAGGCTGGCCACTTCCAAAAAGTTTCCATACTTCCTCGGGCCCAAGGGCGACAGACCGACAGATCAGGCCGAGAGAGAACTGGATCGGAGCTAGAGCGATCGGCTGAGCGAGCCCAGGCTGATCTCCAACAGGCTTCGGGGCCTGGAGCAGATCTCATCATTCACTCTTCTTGTCGGGAAGCATTTCTGAGGTCTTCAAATGGCATTTTCACATGCTTTTCTTGTACCCGGTTCCTCCTGTGAACCAGCCAGTTTCAGGGCTCGAGTTTTTTTGCAAACATGAACCAGTTGATATAATTGCATTGACATGAAATTGATCAAGTCCCCTGCTAAATCAGTAGAAAACAACCAACACATCCATAAAAGAAAACCACCACCAAAACCAATTCAAAAAACCAAAACCAAATCCATAAAAGAAAACCACCACCAGATCCAATTTTAAAAAAACAACAAAACAACCACCAAATCCATAAATGAAATCCACCACAAGACACAAGATTAAAGAAACAGATCAAATAAACAAATAGAAACCCACCAACCCAACCAAGCCACGGGCGCCATGTATCCCGGCGTTCCGGACGGCCAACATTGCCCGGTGGGTCCCGCGACGCCCAAATCGATAACCTGCGCGGAGCACCTGCGCAGCGCTTGCTCTGGCGCGACTCAGAAGGTTCGATGAAGGGCACTGACTCAGAAGGTTCGTCTGAAGTGTTGTCATGAGGTTTTTAATATTGTCTTCAAAAAATGAACTAGATACTATAAAACAGAACATAGTACAAAATAATCTGATGTTTAGAGTCAGTCTTTAGTCTAGAGTCCAGAAAGTCTAGTGTTATCTAGTGTTCATGTTCAGGGTGTGATTATTGACTGATCCTTTGGATGGGTGTTCGGCATCTGTGGGCTCTTGAAGTAAGTCCGGCGGTTAGCCAATGTGCAGGGTTAGATTTCAGCCAAGAGGCTTGTTGTTCACGCAATTCATCATGATGTTCTCCGTTTTGATGTCCATGTGAACAAGGCCCTTGCTGTGAATCTCTTGCACACCCAAAGTCGCCTGACAAAGTGACAAAGGGCTGACCCAACTCGAGTGTGAGACACACACACACACACACATCTGAACATCTTTGAACACCTGTTGCGCCAGAAAATCAGCTTGTTATAGCTTGTTCAAGTCGGCCCAACATGACATCGCCTGGTAGAAGAGCGCCAAAACGTATGTATTGCTATAGGGAGGGCCCAGCTTGTCCCAGCACATGCCTTTCCCACAACGGCACCCCTTGGTCAGCACACACTTCTCCATCAAGTCGAACAAATCGCCTCTCAGCGGGCTTCCGATGCCAATTTGAGGGCCCGAAAGAGCACAAGCCAGGAACCCTATCCGCATCCACAGGCATAAAGCACTGTAAATCCTGTTCTTGTGTGGTGCATGAAACATGTACGCCCAGATTCATCTTTACTTGGCTCATTGCTACACGTGTAGGCCAGTGGCACAGGCCTTTGCAACTGCCTTTGCAGTATCACTGCATGGCCCAAAGAAATCCCACCATAACGAGAAACATCGAGAAACAACACGGTCCGCCACGCGGACCGTCGTTCGGCGGGCGTGCCTCCATTCAGAAAGGGCATTAAAATATACATGGTGTCCTCTGTCTCCACATAATCCGGCTTTCCAACCGTAGAGATGACGTAGTTTGCGCCTTTCATTCCTTGGAAAACTTGAAGCTCTATATAAAGCAAAACAGATCGGATGCATGCCGAACATGGTCTCCACTCTCTGATGGGAACTACCACCCCCCCAAATGGAACTCAGCACCCCAGCATCTGCAGCACAGCTTCGGCGCATGTTCTTGACCTCTTTGTAGGCAGCCGTTTTCTTCGCCTGAGCTGTCGTGTTGGTCGTGTGTCACATCTCCATCCAGGTTCAAACGACTCGATGCGTCCCCAAGCGATGGAGAAACAAGATCTGACAACGACAGGATGCGACGTATCCAATAAAATACCCATGATCTTTATAATTATGGAATCTGAAAACCACTGGTGAAGGTGGAGGAAGCTAGTCTGCCAGCCTGGTCCATGCCATCAGGTTCCATGTGGGTCTCTTCCAGGGGGTAATATCTGTAAACATTTAGAGTAGAAGTGTTTCTATGCCACATTTCACAACCTACGACAAGCAATGGACATGCTATAGTTTCCCGATCCTTCCAGACAACCAAACGGGACTTCCGGACGATGACCACCATCCGAGCGGTGGTGAGCGGAAAAACCTGACATTCCCAGCATGCCACCGTTGCTTTTTCGGCTCAGGGTCCATCGCTTTGAGAGAGGCAAACTGGTCTTCGCTCTCGTCACAGGTCACGCGCAACTGATAAACAGTGCCGAAACTTCCTGAGCCCAGCTTGCGCACCTTGCTCAAACGCTCCTGACGGACCGTGCAGTGAGGCGTGCGTGCATCATCGGCATCACGGGGTGAGGCGGATCGAACGGAAACGAAAAAGGCACCGGTTGACGGTCAAGGTGCTGCGCGCGGTCACCGAAATCGAGATGCTGTATGTGCATTAGCACACATATATATATGTGCTAATATCTCATGCACATATATTTACATAAACGCGTGGTTTCGCACTGGCATCCCAGTAGAAGACTTTGGATGAGGCTCTGGGGGGCCCTTGTGCCATCTACCTTGAAAGATTCTGAAACCACTGATATCTCCATTGGGGGCTTAGCAGCAGCTTCCCTCCTTCCTCAGTCCACGGCCTCGATGGCTCGGCTGGTGACGAAAGGCGACCAGCCCCCGGAGGTGACCGAAAGACCCCACCCGCGACCAGCTTTCTCCGATTCCTAGTCTGCAATGAACGTCTTCTTCGTTTCCACTCACTTGGAACAAAAAATCATGCAACATGAATCAAAATGATGGGTCAGCATGGGATCAATCATTACAAGTAAAGATTGAAAGTAAACATACTGTACATCTGAAACCACCACTCAAAGCTCTAAAATGAGACCAATTGATATTCATGCTCTGCTACTGACCGTATGGACCGCGACTACATCTGACCCATCTAGCCGTCCAACTGGATGATAAGGTGACGCAAACGTGTCGCTCCGGAACACTTCAACGGATCCAAACCCAGACCATCCATGCGACTGCAAGAGTTACATACATCAATCATAGGTTCGTCCAGTCTGACCCAGGTCCAAACCTGGTCAGACTGACCTCCCTTTTCGTCGTGTTTTTGTATGACCAACTCCAGTATTTCATGAGGTCATTGACATGTAGGGATTAGGGAAATGTTCATGAAGTCAACGTATATATAACTGTTGCAGTCCTAGTCCCCGTGTCAAAAACCATCTCCTTCCACGGCTGAGGCAGCTCCTCGTCCCTTGTCTCCTGCGTTTTTTCGGAGGGCGGAGAGGGATGGGGAGGGTGGTCTAAGCCCGAACCAATTTGACCTCGACACGGGGGATGATTTGGTGGTGCGGAATCTTTGCGCATGATATATAGTTTAAGCATGTTACAGCAAAAGAACGCAAACCACACTCTTCGATTTTTTGAACATCACTGGTCTTTCCTTCCCAGACCACCCATGTATGGATAATATCAATATGCATTTATATGCGTACATTGACCCCTGTAGGTAAATAGGTCATATATATATATATATGGATGATGGGTCATGATGGTCTTTCTTTTAACATGGCGCTCGAGCCAACGACCTCTCACCAGCCACACGACGTGATCCTTCCAAAGCCTGGGCGCCTGGGCCTCCATCGTCGACCAAGCCCGAAGGAATGCGACACATCGCAACATGATTGCATCGATGTCCGCCCGAGTGAAGGGAACACGACTGAGGGGTCGATTGAGTACCGTAAGGATCCTGTTGGATCCTGTTGGTTGTACACGACTGGGGGGGCATTCCCTCTATCAATGAACCAACCAATAGTAAAAGGAGATCTATGCTAACAGGGTGTACCCCCGCAGTTGTTTGGAGGGCACAGTTAACTTCGGAACTGCACTCAGCGCGGAAAGGCTTGGTTCTCCGCTCCCGGAAAACCCCAACTCTCCGGAACAAGCAACTCTCCCGTCTCCTCTGCCATACTTGTAGCGTTGAAAGCCAGGTGCCGCTCCAGGTCAAACGGTGCCTGTGTCGTACGGCCAGGGGTGGTGCCAGGGGGGTCAATGTAGGCATATATTCCATACATGGAGTGTATGGGAATGCACGGCACAATGATAATAACTATTTATATGGATCTAAGATGATCTAAGAGTTGGCTGTCATGCTAGAAATTCATGGGAGAAGGCCTACCCCTCATATATCCCTCGTCAAAAAACAAAACATGGTTTTGCAATTTAGATGCACCAACCCACCCATTTCGTGGCTGTCCCATGTTTTTCCTCTGTTCAACGCGACCTCAAAGACCACGCAACATGGTCGCCATGCTCGCCGTCCCAGTCGTCTGCTGTGGTGTGTGGACTGGGATGGAATTCGCTTCAAGCGTGAGTCAATACAAGCCTCCTTATTCTCCCAACTTGCGTATGTATTGGGTCTATCCGATCTATCCTGTAACAGTGGATGATGATGGTTCGTAAAAGCCTTGCTCAAAAATGTTGCTAATTCTTTAGTGACTGTTACAGGTATTGGGACAAACCCTACGTATGTCAATGAAATTTTGCCGTTGACCTTCCTGGAAGCGTCCTCTGGACAAAAACACACGCCTCCTCATCGAGATCATCCTCTATTGCTCGGATCGCCGACGAGACGGCCAGCAGGTTCAGCAGCAGCGGCACAACGGCCAGCGGATGGACATGCATTGGATCGGTCAGACTGAGATTTGACACGGGTAAGGACCAGTTGGCAACTGTGCACGCGGTGCATTCATATGGTTTTTGAGCCGAAAGCAAAGAACCATAATGTTCTAGATGTTCTTAGGCCCAAGACTCTTTTCTCAGAGAAAACAAAAGAAACAAAACACGGTCACTGTATATATTAATATATTATATAAGTGGAAACAGTTCTATAGTTATGAATAACTTGAATAACACTTGAGCAATCCGCAGAGCAAATCTAGCCCAGCCCATACCAACCTTGCAGGAGCTCCTCCTTTCACAGTAGAAACGGTCGCTTGATGTGGGAAATCAGTTTGTCCCGTTCAACCAGGGTCAGGTGCATCAGCTGCCCGGTCGCATGACCCGACCAAAAAGCAAACACGTCCGGACCATCTGGAAGTGCCCAAGGCGTCAAATCTCTGTCCGCTTTGAACTCAATGCTTCTTATTTCTGCCTGCATTTATATAGTAACCCGTTGGTCCCTTGTGTTCTCAATATAAATGAATGTCCTGCAAGGTAGCGGTCTAAGTTCCTTGTGTTCTCAAAGAGCTACAGGTCCATGAGACCCGATCCGCAAGCCAAAGCCTGGTTCGGGACTTCAGGCATTTTTCGAGATGCCTCTTCAGTTGGTCTCGGTCTGAAGGAGTGTGCTGAAAACCTTCCCGAATCCCACCGGCAAATGCGTAAAACAACATCTGGAGTCAAACGCTTGGCTGGTTCAAACTGAATTTGTATGCGACAAACCAAGCATTGGAGCCACGGATCATATGGTTCCAAGGCATTCTTCGGTGAGCTCTTCGCCTCTTTTGGGCAACCCAATGGCTTGCCCGCGACCCCTGGGGGCTGGATGCTGCTACTGATGCTGCGTTCTGATGCTGCCTCACTCACAGGCATTCAGGTGCTTGGAACTCCTCTTGGACCACCGTGCCCTTACGCAGCACATGGCATTGACAAACCTGGCGGACCACGGTCAGGCGGTCGAAGCAGCGCTCAACACCGAGGAGCAAAATGCCAGGGGTCGGAGTGGTGGCTCGTCCCATCCAGTGAGTGGATGTGACAAGGGCACCCTGACTACCTCCATGGATAGCACACCAAACCTCCATGAACTCCTGGTGTTACTTCTGATCTTATTGAATTAGGCTTCGTTTTTGGGTGAAACCGGCTGTCCTTTTTCTGGGATTGGCACCCGCCAGGGTACTATGCCAGTTCGTTCACAAGCTGAGCTGGAATGTTCCATGTTTATCACAGCACCACATCATTCAATTAAAAGTGTCTGGCACATTCTGGCACAATCAATTCCAATATCTTGTCAGGGCGCTTGGCCAGTGTCTGCTAAGGCCAAATTTTGGCTTTGTTTGGGGCTTCGTTTAGGCCGGCTTGGTTCCAAGCCACCCCATCTTAAGCCCCCCAAACCTTGAAGGCAAGACAATCGAAAAGGAGTGTCCGGCTTCGTTGTCCATGCTCTCACGAAGCAAATTCTCAGTCCCTGTCGCGACGTGTTCATGTAAATGCTGAACGCAAAGTTCATCAAAGTTCTTTCCTGAAGCTCAAATGTCAGTTGATGTGTATATATATATATATGTGGGAACAAAGGCTCTTTAGCTGTCTATATAGACTTCAATGCATTGGATTACTTCCAAAGCTTGACTTGATGAAACGGACCTATTACAACATCTTTTGGGACATTTGAATCCAATGGGTGCTGTGCTCAAAGGAAGTGCCTCTTGGATCCTGGATCCCAAAGAAAGCTCAAACATGCTCAAAGCTAGGAGCAGGTTTGGGTTCCTTGATGTTCTTTGCTTCATGAATTCTATCAAATTCCACCCAACATGAGGGCTCACAAGGAGTCTAGCAGTCCACCTGGATCCCAGACTCGTCCTCACCCGCTTGATCGGCGCCTTCTCCGCCGTCGACCCGCCGTCACTCGTCGCTTCCGTCGCTTCGGTGGAGTCGTCGCCGCAGGCGTTGCGGGTGAAGTTTTGGTCGCCGATGTCGGGCAACGGCCGGTGCCAAGACCAAAGGCATTTGGGCAAGGGCACCTCTCCATGGGCGGCCTGTGGTGTGAGGCTGATCATCTCAATGATCTCCTAGCGGATGTTTATCGATGCTGCACGAGTGACTGGAGATGAGATGATTGTATTGATGTTGTATTGATGTATACTAGCAGTTGAAATGATCATGGAAGTGGAGCATGGCCATTTCTGGGCGAACCTTTTCCTCTACCAACAGGACCATGTTCCACTTCCAACCAGTGTATACTGTATACATTGACTCCTTCGGTCCCTGGATGGACAGGTGTCATACACATTCCTCACTAAAAAACACAAACCCGTAATGTAGACTCTTATAATATATAATATATATATACCCTAATCTTCAATGTCTATAGTAAACTCAGGCGTTGGAAGGTCAGGGTATATATATATATATTCTAAGAGGTGTTTCAATTCAAATGGAGGGGTTTATTAATCAAGAGTCTACATTAGCTTGAACGAGTTCACGCTATCGGTATGCAGAACATCTCCGCGAGAGGGCGACGCGAGACGTCTCGCGCTGCATCGCGCGCTGCTCCGGCGTGAAGTCGGGCATCGTCAGCAAATATCCCATCAAACGCTGCAGGATCTCGGCGGTCCCGATGCGCGTCTCGTGATCGGGATTCAACATGCCTCGGTGAGTTATAAATGTAACTCTCGGTGCGCAAAAATGCCCAAGCCCACCCAGAAGAAGGGGGCCAGAAGACATGTGTTTTGTTGTTTTTGTTCCTCACTGGCATGGAAGAAACATGGGAGAAAAGACACAACAATCGATCTCTGAACAGCTCGATCTCCTCCTCCATCCTCGACGCAAAGCATCCACACGAGTTTCGTGGAACAACAAGCAAATGAGTCTTGGGACATCGACCATTTGTCTAACACCAAGGTGATATCAGTCGTCCTTACATGCACAACTGTTCTCACACAATGGTGGCCACAATATGATGGTGTTGCTTTTTTCTGCAGCTGTTCTCACCTAACTCTACAACAAGTCCAAGCATCTCACGGGGAAGATGCTTAACCCCCTTGGTACACCGATTCCCTGTGATCCATCCGAACAGCGACCGGTCTCGGGTCCTCTAGACCCGTCGCTGTCCGGAGGACTTCGACCCCAAGGTGCTGATGATCAGACGGTCCAGCTCACTTTGCTCGGGGCCAGACAGCACCGGATCCGTTGAGGGGTCATACGTAGAGATGCGATGAGCAGCCCGATCGCTATAGAAAGGAGGCTGCTTCCCAGGGTGTGCCAACCTCAGACAGGTGAATTTGATGTCGAAAGGTCATAAAACACAGGCCACATGAGACTTTTGAATTTTGTGACATGATTCGCGACATGTGTTCACCATGTTTTTCACCTATCACCCCCTATATCAGCCTATCCGCCTGCCGATTCGCTTTGCTTGCAGCCATTGGGGCCATCGTTTCATGGAGTTCTTGGGAAAGACTGCCCGCCGCCGCTTATCGCGGGTCGACGGATTCACCGCCCAGCGGGGCTGGCCCTGTGCCAGTCTTCGTTGAAGGCATCATGAGTTGGCGATTGTGGTGGACAAAAAGGAGTCGGTGGTCAGTGGGTTCAATGATTCCAGGCAAAGGTCGAAAACATGTTTGAACCCACCACCCAGTTCATCATGATGATTCATCATGATTCCCTGAGTTGCTGCAAGCCCTGTGCCCAAAGCCCTGAGGATGTAGATTCATGGTAAGATTTGTCAGAGGACACGCGATGTGCTCACCCAAGAAGACACCCACCCCCTTGGATACCTGTTCTCCTAAAACCTTTACACCTGCAATCTTTGCATCCTGGAAGCTCATAGAGGACCACGCCCAGTGAATAGACATCGTTCTGAGGCTGGCCTTGCCCAATCTCTTTCCAAAGCTTCCCTGATTTGCTGACAATAACCTTCCAGATTTCCTTGAAGCCGTGTGGTCCGGTCACTCAAGGCTCCAGGCACCATTCCGTGCACGGGGGCACCAAAGGTTTCTTTCTATCGTCACCCAGGTGGCATGGATCGCTTCAAGACACTGGCAGCTTGATGACATACCCACAAACAAATCACATATATATATATATATATCTACTCTCCTGTGTTTCCATTGAGCATCAACCTCATCCTGCTTCGTGGTCTTCATTTAGAGTAGACTAGAGACCCCCACATAGATAAAATATAACAATCACAGTAACAATGCAACGAAGCAAATCCCAATATTCGGATATATTCAGCACCCAGCAACCACAGTCATCCGTGGCTGGGTGGGAAAAAGGGACCCCTCCCAGAGCCGAAGCAAGCACCTTGAAGATCTTGAAGGACATGTAAACAGCTATTTCAAAGCATGGGGCACACATTTCAAGAGGTCATTCATCCGAAACCTCCAAAACAAGGACCACAACGAGGCACCTCCAAACTCACAGGTAGTGGTCGAGTATGTAACAGCTATTGTAAGAGGTTACTCATTCATCTAACCTCCACAATGAGGCACCTCCAAACTCACTGTAAACCTCCACCTCGTTCAAAGACCTCCACTGAAGGAGACCAATTGCTCAGAGAAACCCATGTTTACACTGTGAACCCGTCAGAGTAGGGTCATGCAAGATTTCCCCAGCTCGATGCCGGTGCAGCTGAAGATCTTTCCAATGCTTTCACAGTTTAGCTTCTTACTAGGCAGCTTCGGAAGACACAAACTTGTGAAAAAATGCGCCAATGGTCCCTATTCCTGGTTACTTGGACCTCGATGACTCAATGACTCTGTCAACAGCACCTCTGTCAACGAGTTCATGGCATGGTTTGACCCCTAAGAAGTCCCATTGGGTCCACCGTTTCGTTCGCACCGCTTCCAGCCAGGCATCAGGAGCCATGTAGCCTGGAGTCCCGCCCAGATTACACGCACCACGGGGCCCCATCAAGCCCAAGTCAATCACATGCGCAAAACACCTGAGATCCGCATTTTTCGACCCACGAGATCCCACGAGATCGCTCGATCATCTCTTGGCTCTTCAGCGCTCTTCAAGGTTTGGAACAGCGGAACCCATCACAAGAGCAGGGGATGAAGCTAAGTCTTTAGGGCTCCAGTCGTACCTTTCGGGTCCAGTCATACCTTCGTTTCGGTACGAGCCTATAGCCCTAAGGGAATTCAGGAACCTCCCAACTCACCTGATCCAAAATTGAACCGGAACCAGTGCGCCACTGTGGAACCACTCGGCGAACCGAAGCCGCCGGTCGGATGTGGGTTCCACGGATTTGGGTGATGAAAAACACCCAACCTGTTGCGAACATGGCTCCTAGTGGTGCGGCCAGGAGTCTCTAGTAGCACCCTTGCTCCTAGCAGTACGGCCAGGAGCCCCGTTCGTAGCGTCCTTGCTCCTATGAATGGCCAAAAGCTTGGATTCATCTAAGACGTGTAATTCCCGTAATTCCTTAGGTCCGACCACATGAGCCAACACAAACTCATCTGCCCAGGGCCCCAGTGGATCTTCACTATCAACTGGAACTCTGCGGAATGGCCAAACCTACACCAGCGGTCAGTTTCATGATGTGTCATGTATGTGGTATGAAAAGGACATGCATTGAACTTGGTTAAGGCTAAAGCCGGCGCGTACGTTCTCCCTTCTACGTACTCTTATTGTTCTGGGGGCTCGTGAGAGGCTGGCGCCCGCGACTGGGTGACTCGGTCAAAACAATGGCAACAGCTCTAGAAATACGTGTCTTGCTCAGCCACCGCCGCAGTGGACTAACAGCATTTGCTGACTCACAGTAGTGGCATCTTGAAGAACAAAACAGCACTCCCAACCTTGTGGGGAAAGGATGGGAAACATATATTGACAGCTGGTAACGAACAGTGAGAAGTCCCTGGCCGCTTCACGGACGAACTGAACTAAGGAGCTTCTGGTCAATGCAGTTCAGCATGATGTTCTCTGATTTGATGTCCATGTGAACGAAGCCCTTGCTGTGAATCTCCTGGACGCCCAAAGTGGCCTGGATCCGCCAGTCGTGGCAAGGGTTTGAGCTGGGGGCGAAGATCACCAGTGAAATGCGTGGGAATAAGATGGAATAAGCAACGACCAACTTTAACATGGCCTATGCCCATGCACCTCACAATGCATCGAAAGTGGTTGAAAGAAAGTCAAGCCATTCACTAAACATCACAAAACCCAACTGCAACTGCCCCTCTTTGTGGAAGCTGGTTCCTCCCAAGTCTTCCAAGGGTCCAACCGAAACAAATGGGCCGTTAGTAGCGGGAGCTCAAGGCTCACACCCCGACCTGTTCTGAAGAAACCATATGAAGCCCATGTGTGATGAACCGGGGTGAACTGTCACCCGTTGGTATGATGATATTCGCCGAATTGAGCGGGCCGCCGTGTGTCGGACACCAACGAGTTGACATCGCATGGCGTACATCGCATGGCGTCGCCTGATAGAAGAGTGCAAAGATGTATGCGTTGCTATAGGGAGGACCCAACTGATCCCAGCACATGCCTTTCTCACACGACACACATCCTTTCGTCTTCATACACTTCTTCCATAGGTCGTGCATATCGCCTGTCCAGGCCGGTGATAGAGACTCAAGGTGAAACCGTTTGCAGGCACGAAAAGCAGGCGGTGAAGTCTGCAGCTGGTACAGCCATGTGAAAACCTTAAACTTTTAAACTACTAGTGCTTGGAAATGCCAATAAAGATCCGCCAGCAGGCCGCAAGTGAAAGGGCTTAGTTGAGCATGTAGCACTTGGGCACATAAAATGTACATAGACATAGATGCACTATTAATACGAAGCTTGCCTTTCGGACGGCCTGTCTTTCTAAAGGGGAGCTACAAAAAGTTGAGTTGGAGGATGATTTGGAGTGTTTAACGCAGATTACGGAAGTCATAGAGCGCTCCAAGGCAGCATAATTTTGTTGTTCCCTAGGGCTCCAAGTACTGTCTAAGAAGATGCTTGGGGTAGGTTTGGAGTGTCCAAATAATGACCATCTGAGGAGGCACGACTGGAGCCCCAGGGGGTAATTAAAGCTTGTACTGTTAGAGCTTGGAGGGATGTTGCGCCTTGCCAGCACCTAGCTCTCGAAAGATACTGTACGGGGGTTTTATTGGGGAACCTGTTTCCGCCGCCGTATTGCCAGCTACACTCCAACGCACTAACATGGAAGTTCAACCCCAAGGATGCCATCCACTTTCATGTGACGTGCTTGTCAAAGGGTAGTGTGCCAGTGTGTCACCCTGCAAGTGTGGATGGATCACCTGATCAAACTAGGTGGCGCATGGCAAGGTGGACTCGGCACACTCTCTCTCTCTCTCTCTCCAACAATCGTGGAGATGGAAACAGAAGCCTGACCTGAAATAACCAAAGCAGTCTCCGCATATGTCTTTTGTTGGAAGGACGTTTGTCGGAGTTATCCGTCCTCAGGAAGACCCGTCCAACTGGTCCAGCACCGGATTCCGCCAAAGAGCCGATCCTCGGAAGTGACCTGATGAAAGAACGCTGATAAAAGGGTTAACAGAACGTTCAACCTCTTGGTTGTTCGTGGGATGTCCCCCCCAATTGTCCCCAATTCCGGTTGTTCCGGGCGGCCGGTTCTCTGAGTTCCACGTTTCGAGAACCGGAATCCTCCTGGTTTGAACTGCGTCCTTTAGGGGCTTCCCTAGGGGTCGGAGCCATTCAGAAGATGGAGAGCCCCATCAGGCCTTGGACTCTTCCCGCCCTCACCACCAGATATGTAATTCTGAAGACTTGGAGACTCATTCGATTGGTGGAATGGGGGCTCTCCTTGGTATACGTGATCCCGCCGCATCTGGAGACTTGCCTCCATTCAAATAAGGCATCAAGATGTCCATGGTGTCAGGTGTCTCGACATAATCTGGCTTCCCCACAGTGGAGATGACATAGTGTGCACCCTGCATTCCTGGGAATGCAGGAAGCACAAACTCCAAGTAACTAAGATGATATGAGTCAAAAACAAAACACAGAAGCAAAGCTTGAACTGCAGCAAAGGTTCTACGCATGTTCTTAACCTCTTTATAAGCATCGCGATCCTTTGCCTGCAAAATCTGAACAAGTCATCTGATGAGGCAAAAGTAAAAGGTGCTAGACTATGTATATAGAGGCAGCCTGATCAACCAGCAAGGATCCCCAAACACACGTCCTCTTAATTATGTTGGTCTGCTTTCAAGTTGTACGTCTGCTTTCAGTCTGATATCTTAAAGCCAAGCAACCATCAATTTCAAAGAAACAAACTCTTCGTTCGTAGCATCGCAGGTGGCACGCAACTGGTAGACAGTACCAAAACTGCCAGAGCCCAGCACACGCACCTTGCTCAAGCGGTCCTGTCAAACGTGAGCTTGCATTCAAAGCAGTCCAAACGCCATGCGCAATGAGTCAAATGATAGCTCGCTTGTTGAATGTTCTCTCTTTCACTTGTTCATTCTTCTTGCACACACTTGGACGTCATACCGAGAGGAAAGGGGTACGTCCCCCGTCACATGGGGTCACGGGGCCCGCCCTATCACTACTGATCGAACAAGCAGTCCTTCCACGGACCTGGCAGCTGGTCCATGGTTGGCTCCTGACGGCTTCGACGACCGAAGACCACGAAGAAACACCGAAGCCCGGCGACTGTTGGTGGCGTGGCCATGGCTGAGGTGCCATCCCACCGGTGAACGCAAGGCCAAGTTTCAGGCGAGTCCCGGGTTGGGTGCCTCTTGACCAGCTCCATATTGAACACAATTCCTGAAACATTCATGGAAGTGGCAAATGTCCCCTGGAAAGACAATTTCCACTTCCATGATGATTTCGGGAAGTGACAACATATGATATTACTACTACAGTAAGAATCATGTTCCTGTGCAGTGGTGCATTAAACACGGCGCGGTGGATCATAAGGTTCCAATCTGCCTCCTTCCCAAGTAACCCCCACAGAAACTTATATAATTACGGAGTCTCCCACGGTTTTCTTCGGCATGATAAGGATGCACTTTTCATGCCGGTGTTTTCAGTGCCGCTGTTATGGATTCCCTACTCATGGTAAGTTGATCTCTGGTGGAATTGGATTGGTCCGGAATACTTCACAATAGGGGAGTGTTTCGTTGCGCATGATCAAATTGTCCATCTTCATCCTGTTTTCTCGAGGGTTGACCTATTGTCTCGAAAGCATCTGCAAGCCTCGCCAAGGAAGAAACAAATGGAATATGTTTCTCATGGGGGCAGCCGGGAAAGCCGGGAAAGGGCCACTCTGGTCTCCAAACACTTTTCTTTTTTCTGGAACCCGCTGTTGTTGTTGTCGTTGTTGTTGTTGCCACCGGGTGACAAAGCCCCAAAGCATCACTTGTCGGCCATGTACCGACTTGCTATCGGTCCATCGGTCCTCACGTGAGTGGTTTCAGGATCTCGGGGACCGACCCCCTCACGGCCGCTGCCTTAACGGGGGGGTTTGCTGGTCTGTCCGCCCTTCTGCCGCTTTGGACGGCGTCTCCGGAAACGGACGGCGTCTGTCCAGTGCGATGCTCCAGCAGTTTGGCCGTCCGTGAGCTGTGTTCTTCAAACCCCAGGTGGGTCAATAAAACAGCGGTCCGGTCCGTCGGTGGAGTGGAAAAGGCTCGGTCCTTCACGAACCTCATATACAGTATTTAGGGTTGACCGCCCACGGCCCACGTGACGCCAACGTGCACAGCCCCAATTCGACCTTCACTTTCTGGTTCTGATCTCAAAGACCAGCTTTGGCAAAGCCCCATGGGGAAATGTGACCCAAGAGTTTCGATGTGTATCCCGTTGGCTCCCTGGCACGTGCGACATGTGTCCTTGACCATCCCTGGCCGATTCCAGGCCACATGTCTCTCCAGGTCCACTGACACCGACACCTGCAACGTGTGCTTGTTCAACAAGCTGTCAAGGGCAATGGCGAGGTCCAAAAGCTACCTATGGTAACATCTGTTCTATTCTGTTCTGCTTTGTGCGAGGCATTTAGCACTACAGTACCACTACAACTGGTTGGGAAGGATCAAAAACAACACGGCCCAGGTACGATCTCCAGATCCCATGAAATGGTGCAGGAGAATGTGCTAAATGCAATGCGACGTAAATCAAGACGACAAAAATAAGAAAATCCCTGGCATTTGAGTAAATAGAGTCCTCTGACCAGCCAAGCATTTTAATAGTTTATTGGTGTGGAGGCCCGGGAGATACGGCGCACGCTGAAATAAGCTGCGCATGCTTGAAGGCTCCAAGAATTCACTGCCTCAAGAATTGGGTCTGGCTATGTCTGGCTTATGGCTTGAGATGCCAAACAAAGACTCCCAGATCCAGTGGCCACTATAGTAGGTCACCTGCGGTCACCTGCGACTCAAACCTGACCCAGCACCATCAGCACCCTCGTGGTTCGTGAGAAAAATAGTGGCTCCTGTTCCACACCAAGGGGCCGCATTCTGAGCTGAGCTTGCGTCTGGAGTTAACAGCGCAACAAACCAATAATCAAATACTATATTTTCTAGCTGTTTCGTGCAAGGTGTGCGTCCAGTGCCCAAAACTAGACCTCAAAGACTCAGATCCAAAGCTTCACCGTACCAAGGTAATTGGGTAGAAGGGCACTCTTGAAGTCGCCTCATCATCCACATCATCCACTGCTCGTATGGCCAAGGTTGGATGCAGCAGCCATGCTGCGGCCCAAAGATACATGGACATCATGGATATGGCAGACCTCCAGGTCTTAATTTCAGTCACTTGACTGCTGGATGTGCCACTGGTGAGCACATGCACTTGAGCCGTCAGCAGTGGTGAATGTTGGCGCTTGGGGCCTTGGCAGTACCCCACCAGGCTGTGCTAGCTTGTGCATCGGTTGCACGTTTTGCTCGGGAAAAAAACCAACCCGACTCACTAAGACGGACGTGGAAAACCCCGGGTTCGTTCGTGACACAAAGGCTGGACGTTGACACAAGGCCCTTGTCATCCCTTTGAAGTTCTCGATTGGTGTGGTGCAACCCCCACCCCAAAACGACTAAGTCGAGGGTTGTAACAGGGGTCTGCTCAGTCTGGTTCATTTCCTTCTGATGCATTCTTCCCTAGCGGTTGGCAAGGTATTGAAGCTGTGCGTTTATTCAAAGGCCTTCTATACGGGTGCGTTGATTCATGTTCAAGCTTGTGAAACATGTTAAGCCATCCAACATGTATCGACCCTCATAGACCTGTCGGGGTGTCACAATAAAGTACTTCCGATGGATGACCTACCCAGGCTTTCCTAGACTGGACGGCTTTGATAGGCAATCTAGTTGCAGCGTTTTCGGACGAGATGGCAGTGGCGCCCCAAGATGTCTTTAGGATCTTTAGGTGGGGAGTCCAAAATGGACAACTTTTTTGGGAACTGTGCCATCTACTCTCAATCCCCTATAGCCTATACTATAGCATCTTAGATGGTTTGTAGTCCACAATGCGTGACTCAGGTTCTAGGCGAAATACATGGATCTATCTTCCGAATGTCCTGTCTGTATGGGTTCCGGGCCCATGAGAAATAGTCCAGGTCGAAAAGACTCAGTACCTCAGCAGTTAAGAGCATGGTCTCACAACAAACCAGAAAAAATGATTGAAGGGCACTATGATTTGACCGACGCCCACTACAGCAATTGAAAAGGAATGAACTAACAATAATCAGTTCACTTTGCCGTGGGCATCAAGATGCATCAAGGTCAGGATTGAGAGCTATGTCCAACCAAAGTGTTAGCTAGGAGAAAACCTGTTGGTGAGTTCTTCTGGCACTCCTTCTGCAAATCTCCTGCCGTATACTTAGAACAGCATCTTTTTAAACCTTAAAAAACCATCACACTTGGAGCGTCAGGCAAAACCAACACTTAGAACAGTAAAGTTCGCAGGGAAGCAACACCACATCTAAAGCATCTGGCCATGCCAGTGGTTGTACAGCCACATATACTAAATACTGAGTATTCTATAAGGTTTTCAGGTTCCAGGTGAATCTTCCAGATAATTCTGATGGATTCATCTAATCTACGGGAATTGCACCAAAAGTCTTTCAAGTGATGTGTGGGGTCCTGAACCCTCACAATCACAATGATGCTGACCACTCTCCATCCACTGTCTCATTAAAACAAAGAAACAGGTGTCGGGTTGCTGTTTCATCTCGAATATCTGCTTGCATAAGCTTTCACAAATGAACTATAGCATGCTATAACTGGTCACTCGGGCGGGCCCGTGGATGTGCCCCATCTTGGGAGCAGGTGTGGCTACTATCACCAAGAAGAGTGGACATCCTCCCGGTCCTCCTGATATCTGTATTTACTATCTAATCACCATCACCATCCGAACTGGGTGGTGTTGGCAGAACCCGTTCAATTTCTGCCATTCACCCCGAGAAGATCTTCCATTGACCCACACCGGACGAATGGCGAAAGGAATGAGCTCTGTGGCCACATAGGATGAGCTCCGCTCAGCGAGGAGCTCAGTCCCATCTGAGGACTTCTGGGATCTTCTGGGCTTCCCGAACGGCATAGGAGCATAGGAGCTCAGACCTTAGCTAAGAATAACTGTGAAAGGCACAAAAACTGCCATGTCTTCCTCTCTCTTCCTGTCTCTGGATGGTGATTCGATCTGCTCTTCTTTAGCGTAGACTCATGCGTGTTCGTTGGTCTTGCCACCGAAGCTGTGACCCATGGGTGAAGCTGCCACGAAGTAACTCAACAGGACAACCTGTGACCAGGTACAAGGAGGTGTTCCGAGGTTAGACCGATCAAAGCTCAAGTGCTTGATCTGCTTTCTGCGCGTGGAACCCCGCTTCGTCCACCCAACCGGAGAGACAAACCACCAAAGAGTTGACGAAACAGTGTGTGAAATGGCCAACCTTGGCCCACCCTGTGAGTACCAAGGGATGTTGAATACGAGCGTCTGGATGAAGGGACCATGT